CCCTGCAGTAGGCTGCTGTTTTTGTCTGTGGTACACTGGTTGCCAAACAAGGCTTTAGGACACAGTTTGTCCTGCTATGCAAGTCATAGATGGCAAGAGGGTGGGTAGGCATATAGAAGAGATGGAATCATATCTTTCCCAAGGTTGTTTGCATGTAAGTGAAAATAATGCACCTGACTGGAATTTGAACTTGGCTCTGATTTCTCCTTCAGAATTGTTATCCATTACAACACATCTGCATATCCTCTAACCCGATATAATTCTATATCTGCAACACATCTGCATATCCTCTAACCCAATGCAATTCTATATCTGCAACATCTGTATATCCTCTAACCCAATGCAATTCTATATCTGCAACACATCTGTATATCCTCTAACCCAATGCAATTCTATATCTGCAACACATCTGTATCCTCTAACCCAATGCAATTCTATATCTGCAACACATCTGTATATCCTCTAACCCAATGCAATTCTATATCTGCAACACATCTGTATATCCTCTAACCCAATGCAATTCTATATCTGCAACACATCTGTATATCCTCTAACCCAATGCAATTCTATATCACAACACATCTGTATATCCTCTAACCCAATGCAATTCTATATCTGCAACACATCTGTATATCCTCTAACCCAATGCAATTCTATATCTGCAACACATCTGTATATCCTCTAACCCAATGCAATTCTATATCTGCAACACATCTGTATATCCTCTAACCCAATGCAATTCTATATCTGCAACACATCTGCATATCCTCTAACCCAATGCAATTCTATATCTGCAACACATCTGTATATCCTCTAACCCAATGCAATTCTATATCTGCAACACATCTGTATATCCTCTAACCCAATGCAATTCTATATCTGCAACATCTGTATATCCTCTAACCCAATGCAATTCTATATCTGCAACACATCTGTATATCCTCTAACCCAATGCAATTCTATATCTGCAACACATCTGTATATCCTCTAACCCAATGCAATTCTATATCTGCAACACATCTGTATATCCTCTAACCCAATGCAATTCTATATCTGCAACACATCTGTATATCCTCTAACCCAATGCAATTCTATATCTGCAACACATCTATATCCTCTAACCCAATGCAATTCTATATCTGCAACACATCTGTATATCCTCTAACCCAATGCAATTCTATATCTGCAACACATCTGTATATCCTCTAACCCAATGCAATTCTATATCTGCAACACATCTGCATATCCTCTAACCCAATGCAATTCTATATCTGCAACACATCTGCATATCCTCTAACCCAATGCAATTCTATATCTGCAACACATCTGTATATCCTCTAACCCAATGCAATTCTATATCTGCAACACATCTGTATATCCTCTAACCCAATGCAATTCTATATCTGCAACACATCTGTATATCCTCTAACCCAATGCAATTCTATATCTGCAACACATCTGTATATCCTCTAACCCAATGCAATTCTATATCTGCAACACATCTATATCCTCTAACCCAATGCAATTCTATATCTGCAACACTGTATCTGTATATCCTCTAACCTAATGCAATTCTATATCTGCAACACATCTGTATATCCTCTAACCCAATGCAATTCTATATCTGCAACACATCTGTATATCCTCTAACCCAATGCAATTCTATATCTGTATACCTCTAACCCAATGCACATCTGTATATCCTCTAACCCAATGCAATTCTATATCTGCAACACATCTGTATATCCTCTAACCCAATGCAATTCTATATCTGCAACACATCTGTATATCCTCTAACCCAATGCAATTCTATATCTGCAACACATCTGTATATCCTCCTAACCCAATGCAATTCTATATCTGCACATCTGTATATCCTAACCCAATCAATTCTATATCTGCAACACATCTGCATATCCTCTAACCCAATGCAATTCTATATCTGCAACACATCTGCATATCCTCTAACCCAATGCAATTCTATATCTGTAACCCTTCTAACCCACGTAACATATCTGCATATCCTCTAACCCAATGCAATTCTATATCTGCAACACATCTGCATATCCTCTAACCCAATGCAATTCTATATCTGCAACACATCTGCATATCCTCTAACCCAATGCAATTCTATATCTGCAACACATCTGTATATCCTCTAACCCAATGCAATTCTATATCTGCAACACATCTGTATATCCTCTAACCCAATGCAATTCTATATCTGCAACACATCTGTATATCCTCTAACCCAATGCAATTCTATATCTGCAACACATCTGTATATCCTAACCCAATGCAATTCTATATCTGCAACACATCTGTATATCCTCTAACCCAATGCAATTCTATATCTACCTTTCTGTATATCCTCTAACCCAATGCAATTCTATATCTGCAACATCTGTATATCCTCTAACCCAATGCAATTCTATATCCCACATCTGTATATCCTCTAACCCAATGCAATTCTATATCTGCAACACATCTGTATATCCTCTAACCCAATGCAATTCTATATCTGCAACACATCTGCATATCCTCTAACCCAATGCAATTCTATATCTGCAACACATCTGTATATCCTCTAACCCAATGCAATTCTATATCTGCAACACATCTGTATATCCTCTAACCCAATGCAATTCTATATCTGCAACACATCTGTATATCCTCTAACCCAATGCAATTCTATATCTACATTTCTAGCTCTAAGAACTTATATTTAATATCTCTCAGGCCTTATATCCAAAGTTGAGGTATCTGCTCATCTCATGTTTATTCTGAAAGTGTAGACCACCAGTACTTGCAGATAGGTAGTTTCTTCTTCTATGCATTGTGTCCCTTCAGGATGTTGGTAATCCTGTCTCTCAACAATTTCCTGTAAATTTTGTGTTTTTACTATCCCTCCTAAATTCTGTTTTACCAACCATTTACACAAACTTGTTAGGTAAATCCTGTTTTTTTTTCCCTCTGTCCCTCTTGTCTTCAATATTTCCTGTAAGGGTCAAATTCTCTGTATCAAATTTTCTGTGTCCAGAAAAGAAAACACTTGTTTGAACATAAGAAAAATTAAATATAAAGCTTAATTGCAGTACCTTGTCTGTCATCTTTAATGAAACATATAAAAAATATATTCAAATGGATAAATATAGATAAATGTACGTGTAAGTGTTCAAATACATACATACAGTCAACGATGAATTTGAATACCCATCAATTTTGAGTACTTTTATCCATTTCTTAGAATGATGCCAGTTTTTCATATGTTAATTGTACACATATAGGAATATAAAACTCAGCTTTTAGAGCAATAGGTTGAATAGAACAAATTTGACAGGCAAATTATGTAAAATAGGAAAAGACTAAACTATTCATACAGTAGAAAATATTGTTTTAAATTGATTTGTGTTAGTATAAGAAATTTACATAATTATTTTATCAGTGAAGCCTTCTAGACTATTTATTTGATAGAATATTTGTGATAATTCCAGCAAAGAACATCACATGGTGCATAGTGTCACCATTGTTATTCTTATGTTAACATCATGATGGGGAAGACAAAGGAGTTTAGTGTTGACTTGAGACAGAGAATTAACTTTCGCAAATCGGGAAATAGTTACAGCACTATTTCAAACCAGTTAGCTAACCCTAGATCTACAGTACAGTCTGTTATAAAGAAGTTTAAACAGATTGGCATGACAGAATTTGCCTGGAAGAAAACCCAAATTGTCACCGAGAACTGCACAAAAATTGTGTTGTGGGTTTAATATAAACCCAAGAGTTGTTTTGAAAGACATTGCCAAAAGTTTGGATGCAGTGGGTATCAGTGTAAGTACTTGCACAATAAAATGTTAAATAGAAATGGGTTGTATGGAAACTGACCATGACAAACCCCTCTTCACAAACCATGTCACATTGCTGCTCGGTTTAATTTTGCCCAAACATTCTTGGACAAAGAAAATTGCTTTTGGGCGCAAGTACAATGGAGTGATGAAACAAAAATTGAGCTTTTTTGGAGATAATGATGTACGGAAGATTTAGTGCAAGAAAGGTGAAGCTTTCCTCCCAAAGAACACATTGGCAACATTAAAACATGGAGGCAGTTTGATGATGTTTTGGGGTTGTTTTAGCCCAAGGGGGACTGGAAAATTAATTGCAATAAGAGGAATAATGAAATCTGCAGACTATATTAAAATTTCTGGATGAATATCTGCAACTATCAGCATAAAATCTTCATCTATGTCAGCAATTTACTTTTCAGCAAGATAATAATCCCAAACTTATGTCTAAATAAGTGACTGTGTGGCTTCAGAAAAAGATTGCAGTTCTGTGATGGCCTTCAGTGAGTCCTGACTTGAATCCTATTGAAAATCTAAGGCAGAATTGAAAGTTTGAATAAATTGTCAGTCACCACAAAACCTTCAGGAATTAGAACATGTAGCCATTGAAGAATGGAAGAAAATCCCAGAAAAGACTTGTTCAAATCTCATCAAAAACTTTAGAAATCGATTGCAGCAAGTTATATTGATGAGAGGCCATGCTATTGACTATTAATATTGTTCAATTTTTTCTACTTTTCATACTGTACAAATAATTTTGTCTTTTCATATTTTGCATAATTTGCCTGCCAAATTTGTTGTATTTAACCTATTGTTCTGAAAATTGAGTTTTATATTCCTTTTTTGTGCTTAATAACATAAAAAACCTGGCATCATATGGGCATTAGATTCTGAGAAATGGATAAAAAATATTCAGAATTGATGGGTGTATGTTGTTGACTGTATATATATCCTTTAGTGTAAGAAAAATGGTGCTCAATGCTAAACAACAAAGCTCTTAAGTATATATATATATCAATAAATAAACTCAGAGTTGTACTGTTAGCATGGGATATTATGTATGTATGTATGTATATTATATATGTATGTCTGCTTTTTGTTTTTTTTTAATCTTAAAGAATAGTTTTAATTGATATTCAACATTTTTCCTCCTGACAGATCTCGGTGTGTCCAATTCCTGACAGTTATTGAGAAAGTTTGCAACAAGACAACCAATGTTGGAATTGGTTCAAAGAAAGATTCTGGTGAAGATCTGCAACAGTTGCGCAATGCAACAGCAAGAATTCTGCAAACTGTAACGTTAACAAAATCTGGTAAGATTATTATTATTTTCTTTTTCATTTCACCTGTAATGTTTCTTTCAGGTGGTCGTGGCTCTCCATAACTTCCTGGTTTTTGTTATTCTAAGTAATTTTGAATATTTGTCATCTGTCTTTGCCCTTGTTCTGCCATCTATTTACACAAGCTTGTTAAGTTACTTCTTCTTTCCCTCTGCTTCTCATTGTTAACATATTTTGTTGATGTTAACTTCACTAGGTCTTGCATCCTGAGTATGACGATAAACTACATCCACATCCAGGGTAAAACGATAAACTACATCCAACAGCAAGGCCTCTGATCAGGAGGCTTTTGAGGAGCATGGAACCACCTCTTAATTGCTGGTGTTTCCAGATCCACCTTGACCCAGGGTGGTAGCACCTGTTAGGGTTCCAGCTATGGGCAAATAGTTAACCCCAAAACTGAGGTAGAAAGCATTATAAAAGTGTAAAAATAGGTTTTAATATCAGAAATACTTTGTAAAAATTATTACCAGAAATAAATTTTTGAAGAAAATAATATTACCAGCTATACGTTTTTGAAAAAATATTACCAGCTATACATTTATGAGGAAAACATATTAACAGGAATAGATTTTTGATAAAACAAAAATATTACCAGGAAAAAAAAAAGTTGTTGGCATTAAATGACCCATTGAGGTTGATATGCTGTAAAACAAAACCAAACAAACAATCCTCTAGGTCTTTTTCCATTATGTGATCCAGAAATTTCAGTTATCATTTTTTGATTGTTGTCCCTAGTGTCCGTAAGACTTCCTTGTTGCTTACATGTTCTGTCCATGGTATTCCTAGCATTTGTTAGTAGAAATACCTCTCTGTTGCTTTGTTTCTTCATCTATTGTCTAGTATTCACTGCTATATAGGGTATCAGATATTGCATAACAGTTCAGTGCTCTTTTCTTTGTTTCTAACAATATGTTCCTATGTCTTAGTAGCTTGCTTAGTTTCTAGAAGACAAAGATCTATTCCAATGCACCTTCAGATTTCTGTGTCACCTTTTCTGTCATAGGTCAAAATATTTCCCAGATAGTTCAATTTCTGTACTTGCTTGAATTTGACATCTGGTATATGTTCCTTACTGGTTGTTTCATAAATGTTTAGAATTTTCTTAGAAACAAAGAAAATATTACTGAATTGTTACATAATATCAATTCTCCATTATGGCAGTGAAAGCTTGACAATCTCCTCACAGATGAAGAGATGTGAAGCAACAGAAATGTGGTTCTAGAGAAGGATACTGAGGATACCATGGACTGAGCATATGAGCAATTACAAAGTTCTAGAGAAATTGGAACAAAAAGGACACTTATATTTAATATCAGAAGGATACAGTTGAAATGTCTAGGAATGAGGAAAGAGGGCTTGGAAAATCTGATACTCACAGGACTGATGGACAGAGGAAAACAATGTATAACTTAGCTTGAATAAATGTATGGCAGAACAAGGTTAAGGAAAGATAACAAAAAACTATTTATTAAGAGCTACAAAGGACAGGAAATTGGGGAGAGCCATAATTATCTATGTTCTGAAGTGACATGGCATATAGAAGATGTGCCATTATTATTGTAAAAGTTTTCTGAAAATATGAATTAATTCTCTTTGTTGCTTTTGTTGTTTTCATTGACCCATTCTATAGATGCCTTCAAGTATATAATTTGTATAAAAAGAGAAAAGGTAAAAATTCCCATTATACTGAATTTATATACAGGTATTATCTATGGGCAGCATAATGGTTGGTATCATGGGAAATGTAATATTTCATTCACTTTGTACTAATACCTTTAAGAGAGGCATGAATCCAACTACCCTCAGGTAAAGGTAGTCTGGGCTCTTTATCCTTGTAGATCAACTGAAATGGCTTCCCTCTGTCTTTTCTACAAATATTTTTATGGCAACTGCTATGACAAGCTTTTTCTCCCTGGTGCCCTGACTACTAGATTGGCATCTAGGTCCCACCCTTTTACTGTTGAAATAGCTAAATGTAACTGCCACTTCTATTCCAACAGTTTCTTTTCTCACACTTCCCACCTGTGGAACTCTCTTCTATTTACTTGCTTCTCTGATAACTACAATCTTCAAAAATTTGAATTCAATATTGATATGTCCTGGAAAGAGATATATTTGATCAATGTAACTAAGTGGGTTTTGGCTACTGTAACCAAGTAATACACAATAGCAGTAATCGACTGGTACTTGTCGTAGTCGCAGGTAATAGTGTAGACCAATAGAATAGCCAATGGCATAGTCCAATGGGCGTCATCATAGACTTAAACTCTGTCGTACCTACATGTCCGTCTGTATTTATGAAGGACACCAACCAATCATATTCTAGTGAGGCGGAACACAGATGTATGCATATTCCATTATATCAAATATCAATTGCCATGTTGTGCTAGCGCCACTTTGGGATTGACATGAATAAGAAGAATATTCAATCAACATGTAATAAAGATATTTATTTACACCTAAATATGAATACAACAGTTAACATAAACACAATGTCCTTTCCTATATAAAGAGAATATGTCAGGTAGACTTACCCATCTGGTGGTGTGAAATAGGGTTAGATAGCTTGCACCTTTAAAGTCCTCAGCAACTGGTACCATTGGCAGCGGAGAGAATTTCTTGTGTGTTGCTTTGGAGCATATCCAGTCCCTTCTCTGGTGATGGTCAGCTTTTTCTGAACCTGCATGGTTTTATTAACCAATGAGAGACTGCTTAACATTATGTGACCAATCTCTCTATATAGAAGCAAACAAATTTTACAAACCCAACAGCCACCTTCTGTCTTCTTGAATCCTGTTCATCTTTTGTCCTTTCCTCAATACTTCCTATTTTTAGTCTTCTCTTTCACTTTTGCTCCCTGTAACCCCCTACGTACTAGTGGCATTACTGCCTTACTTGGGGTGAAATGATTAAAAAATACTTTAGGAGAAGAACAATAACTCTGAATTAAAAACCATAAGGAAGTCAATGATCCCTCTACTATCATTCACATCAAACAGTTTTAACAATTCAGATTGAATATCTGTAAAGGAGGATTGGCTACATCCTGAAATGGCATGAAAAAAAGTACTGTAATTATGTACATGTATTATTTGTAGGGTAGTATAGATATTGGTTCAGTAATGGAAAATTGGAGAGCCAAGTTCGAAGTCCAGTCAGGTTTGTTACATTCACTTATGTGTAAATACCTTTGGGAAAGGTAGGAATCCATCTCCTTCCCCTCCTCTTCAAGGCAGGGCCAGTGCAAGGGTCTCATGCCCCCCCTCCAATCTATGATATGTCCTCCCACTCTACTACATCTTAATTTTCATAAGATACTAATCATATAAAATATAAATTCATATAAAATACAAATTTTATTGTAACTTAATTATGTTCAATAATGGATAATATGCAATATAGATGAACAACGGATCATATGCAATAATAATGGATAATATGCAATATAGATGAACAATTGATCATATGCAATATAGGTGAACAATTCATTTAGAAAAATTTTAAATAAATACAATGTATCTAAATACAAATTAAAGACATGTCATAACAGATCATTTCATCTTAAATAAATCAAGTGTTTTGCAGCAATTTTTAACATCAACTTAAGATTTCTCTTGCTTAAAAGTTGAATAATTTTAGTACATCCAACATTATTGATAAAAATACTGAATTTTATATATAAAGTGTCTTTTTTGAGACTTGGCATAAGCAAAACAAACTAACAAAAAAAGACCCCAGAATAACGTTAAAATCTGCAAAAACGTTTCATCCTTTAATAGTCAGTTGTGCTTAGTTTAATTTGTAACATATATAAATGTAGGTAAAGAAAGAGCAAATATTGATGAGAAAGCAAGTGATACAAAGCACTATATAGGACCTCCAAACAGGCTTGTGTCCCTCCCCCAGTTGGGGGGCTGTTGAGGATAGTATGCGCCAGTCTACTGCAGAGAGAAACAGCATCCTACTACAGGAAACTTTTCTGCCTGGTCAGTCATGAATCGAAAAAGACATGGTCACCCAAGCATGTATCGCATAAGGCAAATGACTGACTGAACAAAAAAAATACACTGACATAAAAGTAATGTACTAGGTGCTGAGAATAAATGAGCTTTGCTTTATTGTATATTGGCTAAAACAAGTTATTGTATTGTTAAAACAGCTGAATGATAAAATAAATTATGAATACATGTATGAAACAATTAAGCATAGCTAAATGGATAATCTTAACATTGCGACCATATGAATATAATTGTTAATCAATTAGTAAATTATGAAATAATGGATATTATGTATATTTTATGCAATAAGTATTTTTGTTGTTATTTTCAATTAAACTTTGTACAGCAAGTCCAACAAAATAAATTAAATTTTAGTTATGTGGCAGTTAATCTAATTCTAAAGTGTGCATTCTTTTCTGTTTGAATTTCTGGGATGATGAGTTACCATTATTTACATTAATCACAGCAGAGGAGGCAATTAAGTATCTCGGAAGTCTTTTAACAGAGCATTGAAAATGCAGTACCGAGATCGAGCACATATTTAATGAGTGAAAGGGGCATTCCAAAAGCTAAGAAAGATGCTGAGAAATTGAAAAATTTCATTAGAAACAAAGAAAAGATTGTCGGATTCCTATGTATTAGCCATCTCATATGGCAGTGAATGCTGGACAATCTCCATATGGAAGAGAAAACTGGAGGTAGCAGAAATATAGTTCTATAGAAGCATACTGAAAATTCCATGGATGGAGTGAGTATGCAACAAGGAAGTCTTAAAAATGAAATGGCAATGGAAAGAACAGATCTTCTTAGAATTGGGAAATGATAGCTGAAATTCTGTGGACTCATAATGAGGAAAGAGGGCTTGGAAAACTTAACCCACATGGGTTATATTGGAAGCAAGAGAAATAAGGGAAGGCAGTGAGTCACTTACCTGACAGGCTTGGGCAAATGGATAGTGGAACAGTGGGAGGGATGGTAGCCTTAGCAAAGGGAGAAAATCACTAAGGTCCACAAGGGATAGGAATTTGTGGAGAGCCATGATTGCCAATGTCCTGAAGGGATGCAGCATATAGTAGAAGAAATTTTTAGAAGTATGAAGCTGTTTAGCAACTGACTGACAACAGGCATTGTAGTTTGTTTTAAAAGATGATAATTCCTAATAAAGGAGACATTAAAAAGAATAGATCATTGGTATAGGATGCTCATTCTCACATGTAAAGCAGTAATTCTACATCATGGGAGATAAGGACTTCATTTCCCAGAAGTAGGCACAATCAGTTTTAGACTTTCTCTCTCTATATATATATATATATATATATATATATATATATATATATATATACAGTGACATGCATAAGTATTGGATACATGTTATTTTCTGTTATAACTCTAGTTTATGTTCACCATTTTGCCTGATATTTGGTAAGTACTATCTCATAAAGTTGTTTTAGTTGTATGTGGAAGGAAAATTAAAAACTCATCCATTTTTTTTATCAAAGTTCAAAATTACCCTATGCAAAAGTATTGGATACATGATACTTATTTCAAATTTCCAATTGAAACTTTGTATTTTAAAAGACTTTAAATATTCCAATTTTCACTAGTATTGGAATGTTATCTCTGAGCAATCAGAGTAGCATACAATTGTTTACAAGATAGTGCTACTAATCATCTGAATCTTTGATGTGCATTCTGCAATTCAAGGATTAAAAATGGCAAAAACTAAAGAATTATCCAGAGATATGCGAGATAGAAAGGAGGAACAAGGTTACCGAAAAATTAGCAAAGAAATGAATGTAGCACTAAGTACAGTAGGAAATATCATCAGAAAGTATAAGAAGTATGGTGACGGTACAGCAAACCTTCCAAGAAATGGAAGACTGAGAAAAATAAATGAGAGTACTTCAAGGTGGATCAGCAGAAATGTGCAAAAAAAACCCTTCATTACTCGTTCTGAAATTAAAACTGATCTTGATTGCTTCCTGGGTGGATACTTACAGACTCAAGTCTAAACTGCATATATGTCTACCTTTTTTATTCTAGTGTAAATGAAACCTATGTTTACCTTTTTGACGAACTAATTGTGGTTTGGTTTGGTTTGTTTTACAGCATATCAACCTCAATGGGTTATTTAATGCCAACAACATTTTTATTGCTGGTAATATTTGTTTTTTCAAACATGTATTGCTAGTAATATTTTTCCTTCAAAAAAAAATCTATTGCTAATGATAATTTTTTCAAAAAAGTGTTGCTGGTAAAAATTTTTTTGCCTAAAATGTATTGCTGATAATGTATTGATGGTAATAACTTTTTTATTTTACAAAGTATTTCTGGTATTAAGAGGTATTTTACACTTTCATAGTGTTTTGACCCCAATTTGGGGGTTAACTATTTGCCCATAGTTGGTACTCTAACAGGTGCTACCACACCCAGGTCATGGTGAACCTGTGAACACCAGCAATTAAGAGGTGGTTCCATGCTCTTCAAAACCTGATCAGAGGCCTTGCTGTTGGACATGGTTTATCATCTTACCCAGGACGCAGATGTAGTTTTATGTCATACCTAAGACGGGAACTAATTGTGGATTTTTTTGTTTTATAAGAGTTCTATTCAATATTAAATAACTAAACAATTTTTAATGTGATTAAGTTGACAAACCTAATCTAAGATAAATTTATTATTTTTGCATTTTATGTGATGAATTTTCAATATTATTATTTTATTATTAGTTTTCCTGCTTTTTATTGTTGGTTGCTGCCTTTGGATTGTGCCATACTCAATCAAAAATATCTTAGCTGTTGGCTGTATACAACTCCTTTCTCAAATCAATGGTTAAAAGTGGCTTTGAACAAGAGAAGCATGTAGGTCTTCCATCAATAAGAACATTATTTTAACCTGATGAAATTCTTTTAGAGAACAAAAAACATTACATAGAAATTTTTCTACTTTTTCATTCATTTACCTAATGGTCTGATACATAGAAATATAAGGTATCATATTCTTTCATTGTTATACTTGAAAGGTTTCATATGTTGTACCCTCTGGTCTTTTTCAGGTATCTATTATAATTGTTAACCTCAGAATTTTGAGCTGAACTCTTTATTCAATCTTATATGTTCTTTTCTTTTTTTTGTGTTCTTCTGCTTTCATTCTTTGTCTCTTCCTCTCTCATTTTTTTCCTCTCCTTCTCTGCCATCTATTGAATTGTATTTTTCAATCATTTCTGTTTTTCTCCCATTATTTTTTATTTTCTCTTAAACTATGCCCCTCCTGTTTCTTTCTTATCTGCTTCAACTTTCCATTTTTCCCCTTTGTTCTAATTTAGAAAGGATGAAAACAAAATCAAGTCTTGCACTATCAATAGCATTTAATACTCTCCTATATATGATATATATATATATATATATATATATATATATACAGTGTATCTAAAAGTGATACACCCTCACATTTCTTCAAATATTTAAGTATATCTCTTCATGGGACAACACTGACAAAATGACACTTTGACACAATGAAAAGTAGCCTGTCTGCAGCATATATAACAGAGTTAATTTATTTTTCCTCAAAATAACTCAAAATATAGCCATTAAAAGCTAAATCCCTGGCAACAAAAAGTGAGTACACCCCTTAGGAAAAGTTGTCAATATTAACATACAACATGTCAACTGTCAATATTTTGTGTGGCCACCATCATTATCCAAAACTGCCTTTACTCTCCTGGGCATGGAGTTTACCAGAGCTTCACAGGTAGTAACTGGAATGCTCTTCCACTCCTCAATGACGACGTCGTGGAGCTGGCGGATATTTGAGACTTTGTGCACCTCCACCTTCTGCTTGAGGATGGCCCAAAGATGTTCTATTGGGTTCAAGTCTGGAGACATTCTTGGCCAGTCCATTACATTTACCCTCAGCCTCTTCAGTAAAGCAGTGGTTGTCTTGGATGTGTGTTTGGGGTCATTGTCATGCTGGAACACTGCTCTGCAACCCACTTTCTGGAGGGAGGGGATCATGCTCTGCTGCAGTATTTCACAGTACATGTTGGAGTTCATGTTTCCCTCAATGAAATGTAACTCTCCAATACCTGCAGCACTCATGCAGCCCCAGACCATGACATTCCCACCACCATGCTTGACTGTAGGCATGACACACTTATCTTTGTACTCCCTCACCTGGTCGCTGCCACACATGCTTAAGGCCATCAGAACCAAAACAAATTAAATTTCATCTCATCAGACCATAGGACATGGTTCCAGTAATCTATGGGCTTTGTTAACATTCTTCAGTAAACTGTTTGCGGGCTTTCTTGTGTATTGCCTTCAGAAGGCTTCCTCCTGGGGTGACAGCCATGCACACCAATTTGATGTAGTGTCTGGCGTATGGTCTGAACACTAACAGGCTGAATCCCAATCTCTTTTAATCTCTGCAGCAATGCTAACAGCACTCCTCGCCGATATTTCAAAGAAAGCATTTGGATGTGACGCTCAACACGTGTGCTCAGCTTCTTTGGACGACCTACCCGAAGCCTGTTCTGAGTGGACCCTGCTCTTTTAAAATGCTGGATGATCTTAGCTACTGTGCTGCAGCTCAGTTTCAGGGTGTTGGCAATCTTCTTGTAGCCTTGTTCATCTTTATGTAGTGCAACAATACATTTTTAAGATCCTCAGAGAGTTCTTTTGCCATGTGGTGCCATGTTGGAACTTTCAGTGACCAGTAAGAGAGTGTTAGAGCTGCACTACAAATTTGAATACACCTGCTCCCCATGAACACATGGGCATAGTTACACTAATGAGTCACATGACATTTTGGAGGAAAATGAAAAGCAGTACTCAATTTAGACATTTAGGGGTGTGTACACTTTTTGTTGACAGGGATTTAGCTTTTTAATGGCTATATTTTGAGTTATTTTGACGGGAAAAAGAAATTAACTCTGTTATATATGCTGCAGACAGACTACTTTTCATTGTGTCAAAAGGTAATTATTTCAGTGCTGTCTCATGAAGAGATATACTTAAATATTTGAAGAAATGTGAGGGGTGTACTCACTTTTGTGATACACTGTATGTAATATATATATATATATATATATATATATATATATATAATATACATATGCAAAATATATAAATATATATATGCATACACATACATATATATTTTGTATAAAAAATATTCATTTTAGATAGAATCCGGGTAGAACTCAATGTCCAGGACAGAGTAAGGATATAATAAAAAGGCTTAAACACTAATATTCCATATTAGTGTTTAAGCCTTTTTATATATATATAAAATTTTCCAGTTTTTTCCTATCATATATTAAATAATTCAAATGTCTCTGAAATATCTCCTTGTGATTGTTGAATTTCTTCTTATTTCAGATCGCAACCTTAAAGAATCTTTCATTAAGCAGAATGGCTTTACCATTTTAATGATGGCTCTTAGAGAAGTGAGTATCAAAGTTTTGTTATTTTTTACTTATCATTTTAAGTCTTTGTTTTATATGACAGCAGATATGTTTTATACATAAATGTAATCATGGTCTTCAGTTTTTCTTTTATTTCATAATTGTTAATCATTTTTGTCTGAATTTCTGGCATGAGGAGTTTCATTATTTATATTCATACTATTGTCCTCATCTTTGTTGTTGTTATCACAATGTTTCAGCTGTGGTGCCCTCTGGCCTTCCTCAAGTGTATATCAATCTGGTTACAGATCCATCTATACCTGAGGAAGGCCAAGTGCACAATGGCTGAAACGTGATAACAACAGCAAAAATTGGTATCTTTTTTTGGCTTATGGGCATATCATGTTGAAACATCAATTTTTATACAATCACTAATGTTAAGCAATGTTGAGCCTGGTCAGTACCTAGATGGGTTAACAGTTGAGAATACCAGGTGCTGTAAGCTTGCAGGTGGTGTAAAGGATAATGGTTGGGAATTGGAAATTGGAGAGCCAAGTTCCAATGTGGCTCATTATATTCACTTATGCGCAAATACCCTATGGAAAGATATAAATCCATCCCTTCTCCCCCAGTTATGGGTTAATTAGTAGCATTTGTAACAGTAAAATTAGTATTATCTGAAAAACAGAATATTATATTTTCTGGCTTTAAATAACACACAAAAGATGGATAAGACTTAAAACAATGCAATCAATCAATCTTTGCTTGTAAATTTTCTATTTCTTTAGTGGAACAAGGCTAACAGTGAAACCGTAAGCTGAAACAAGGTAGAGAATGGATGGATTAAGATGGGGGTACTGGGGTTAAAAAATTGTCAGACCAAAATGTGGTGGGGGTAAAGACTGAAATGGTGAGGGGGGGAATATAGAGACCAAAATAGTGGTGGGGAGAGAACAGAGTCTGGAATAGTGGTAGATAGTAAAAAAAAAATGGTAGATTCTAAATGGTGAGGAATATAGATATTGGGGTGACTGAAGTGGGGGATAAAAATGTAGAGAATGGAGAGACCAAAATATGGGGAGGATGGTGGAGAATGGAATTAGAAAAAAATAACAGGAAAATAAAAAAAACAAAGATTAGTTACACATAACTGAAATTGCATAATTGAAAATTGTCATCTGACTTATTAAAGCGCCATGGCTGTTTAGCATCTAAATCTTCTATGTACCATGTCCTTTCAGGATGTTGGCAATCATGGTTCTACACAATTTCCTTTCTTTTTTAGCTCTTAGTAAATTTGTTTTTTTGTCATTTCACCTAAACCCTGTTCTGCTATCTAATTTCATGAGCTTATTAGGTAGGTTATATGCTGTTTTCCTCTGTCCCTCTTGACTTTAATCTGTCCTGTGAGTGCCAAATTTTTCAAGCCTTCTTTCCTCATTATGTATCATAGAAATTTCAACTACTTCTTTCTGATGTTAAGTATGATGTTTTTATAAGTGTCCTTTTTGTTTCCATTTCTTTCTAAAATTTTGTTGTTGCTCACATGAATTGTCTATGGAATTGTCCAGCATTCACTGTAATATAGGAGGACTGATACTGCATATCAATTCTATAATCTTTTCTTTGTTTTTAATGAAATTTTCTTGTTTCTTAATACTTTACTTAGCTTTTGAAAATCACTTTTGCTATCCCAATGCTCTTTTGCATTTTAATGTTTCACTTTGTCTTCTTTTAAAACACTTCCCAGATATTTAAATTGTTGTAGTTGTTTCATTTTGGTATTTCTGAATTTGTAATTTTCATCTTGGACTGTTTCTTTTGCTGACAACTATACATTCTATCTTCTTGCAATTTAATGTTTAGTACTTTCTCCTCACTTTCCTTTTCTATCTTCTGTAGGAGTTCTAGTTTCCTTTCTATGTCTGCTATCAACACTCTGTTATATGCATATCTTACGGTGTTAAGATTGTGGCTGCTGATAATAAATCCTGGTAGGACTTCATATTTTCTGAAAATTTCCTCACCGTAAAAATATTATTTGACCTTGTAATGAGGCTGTTACTTCTCTTGGGGTGAAAAAGTTGGTATTTTGTCTTGCACTTTAATTGGTCTGTTGTGATACTGAATCATCAAAAGTTAGATTGGACAATGAATGTTTGGCTGAAATCAGAGCCTGTTAGCAACGACAGTCGAACAGTGGCAATTTTGGAAACAAGTGTGAAAATCTTCCATCAGCAGATATGTAAAAACTGTTTTTTTCTTGCACACTACAAATGGAGTATTGCAGCAATACCTGGGTTGCAGCTGCCCATTCCTTTCTTGCCTGTCTTGATAGTTCAAAAGCATCCATATGTCCTTGAGGGTGATGTATTATTTTTCACCCTACAACCTCTTTTCCCACAGACAAGATATTGCAAGTCTCTTGCTACTCTATTGCTATTATACATAGCAAACGTTCTCACAAGCTACCATATTTCCCATATACTAAGATGTTACAAGCGGTAAGACACCCTATAATTAGATAGATATTTTTTTGAAAAAAATATTTGAAGATTTACTGTATATACTCATGTATCATGTGATCTTTGAAGACATCATTTTCAAGCAAATTTGACTACAGTAAATGAATATATATTTCGGTCAATAGCAATGCCATGGTCAGCAGTACATATGCTCATTTTATATCTCATGTCTGATGTGACCCTCTTAAAATTAGCTTCAAAATTGGGTCTTCAAAAGTCACATGATATGTGAGTATATATGATAATAGCTTACTGCACTAGCAAGTCCAATTTGCCCACTGTTCAGTGTCATTTTTCTTTCTCTCACAACTAATAGTCACATTTTTGACCTATTATTAAATATTTGTGCATATTATTAATTAGATTTTCAATAGTTTATCACAATGTTATACCTGTTCACATCAGAAACAACTCTTTCTTGTCACCACAAGGTATCTCAACACTCAGCATGTTTACATTCAACTCTCAGCTGATATATGGTATGGTACTAACAGGATATACATTACTTATTACATATAAATGATAATTTTAGGATTATATTACATGTCTGGGATTTATGATTGCTTGTATCTTGTGACTGGGGTTCATGAGGGTTGGAAAACTCCTCTCTATAACTTGACCTTTTCGTATTATGATGCGTCTTAACATACAGAAAAGACAGTACATTCCTTCATTGTTCAGTCAGCAGTGAAAAGCCGGGTGAGGGCTGCATTGTATGTTGACACTACCCACTCATAAAAAGTGTACATTGAATTATGTTTTGTTAGGCTCTCTTTACCTTGGATATGTGTCTGGTTAACGTAAGTTGAGGGACAGGCCTCAGTTAACCTTCATCAATTAATTCCTTATTAGGAGAAACCTGTTCACCTTAGATGTTGTTTTTAATGAATTTTTCTTGTTTCTTAATACTTCACTTAGCTTTTGGAAAGCACTTTTGCTATCCCAATGCATTTTAATGTTGCACTTTGTCTTCTTTTAAAACACTTCCCAGACATTTAAATTGTTGTAGTTGTTTCATTTTGGTATTTCTGATTTGTAATTTTCATCTTGGGCTGTTTCTTTTGCTGACAACTATACATTCTATCTTCTTGCAATGAATGTTTAGTACTTTCTCCCCACTTTCCTTTCCTATCTTCTGTAATATTAGTATTATCTGAAAAACAAAATATTATATTTTCTGGCTTCAAATAACACACAAAAGATGGATAAGCCTTAAAACAATACAATCAATCAATCTTTCCTGGTAAATTTTCTGCTTCATTAGTGGAACAGGCCTAACTGAAACCATATAGAACTAAAATTCAGCTGAAACAAGGTAGAGAATGGATGGATCAAAATGGCGGTGCAGTGGTTAAAAAATCAGTGTCACTTTTCTTTCTATCACAACATTTCCAAGCCCTCATATCACTCCTCGCCAGAAAAGCCTTGGAGGTGAGAAAGCTGTTTGAGTGGAACTTTCATTTTATATCTGGAAAATATAGGAAACTAGGATGATTCGACATTGTGAAGCAGTTGAACAAAGTTAACTTTCAATGTTTTTATATCACTGTTGTAACCTAGGGAAGGTTACTGAATAGAATAATCAAATGAAGTTTTGTTTAATGATTGATAATATGTAGGACAAGAACAACACATATAAGATTCACCAGTAGCGCATAGAAGAAGTAATCAACTGCTAGAAGTGAGTCAAATGAATTCCACAATGAATCTCCAACTCTAGGCCATGTACAGTATTCACTACTATATTTGTTGAAATGGGGGCATACCCATTATCATCCATAGGTATGCTACAACAGTCACCAATCTCATGAATTTACCAAATTAGCATAACAAATGCTGGACAACGTCCTTAAAGATGAAGAAGTGACTTGAAGCAACAAAAATATGATTCTACAGAAAGATGCTGAGGATACCATGGATCAAATATGTAGGCAAGGACAAGGTTTTAGAGAAAATGGAAGCAAAAAGGAAACTTATATTTAACATTGGGAAAAGGCAGTTGAAATTTCTGGGGCATGTAATGTGGAAGGAGGGCTTGGAAAATTTGATACTCACAGGACAGATTAAGGAACATAGGAAAACAGCAGGTAACATAATTGGTGGGCTTGTGTAAATGGATGATGGAACAGGATTTGGAGAAATAATGAAAAACAAAACAAAATCAAGAGCAACAATGGACAGGAAGATGTGGACATAGCACGTAAAAGGATTTTGTTAATGTTCCATTTGTTCAGTTGGCAACTCTATTTTGTTCATGAGATTTTCAAGATGGACAAATCACCTAGTGTCCAGGAATTAAATTTGGCAAAGTAGAAAAATGTCATAGAATTATGCGCAACTAGTAGGCTATAACTGATTTACATGTGCAAGAGGAAATTTATTTGAACCAGAATTTGTTCCAAAAATGTAGGTTTTTCTCTAAATTGTTCAGGATTGTGTGTGTGTTACATATACATGCATGCACCATTGTAGCAATCCTGAAGGGTTGAAAGTTTTAGAGGTATTCATTCATATATA